ACGTCACTTGCCCACCGCGTCACCGACCCCCACCGTCGTTTTGATTTTTTATAGTAATAAAAATCATTTAGTTCAGTAAAAGAACAGACACTGCAATTAAAAACTGAACGCGGGTGCTCAATGCAGCATGCCGAACTACAGTTGCATCACAGATCAAATTTCATTTATCCAGTGAGGAGAGTGAGTCGAGCTGACTGACAAGAAGAGTGAGGTGAGACAGACAAGACGACCGCGGATGATTTAGTTTCGAAACGAAATGCAAAAGCCCCTGTTTGGCAATATTTTGGATTTTGAAAAGCCTGTTGACTTTTGCCGTTTATCTAAGATGATTTTGGAAGTTTTTTTAACATTCGTTTCTTAGTTATTTGGTTCTACCGTGTTTGCTGATTTTCAGTGTTTTATATTTAAACTTTGTGTAAGTTATTCGTTTCTTATTTATTTGGTTATATATTATACATTTACTTAGGTATACAAAACTGGAAATAGGCCATTTAAACTTCATGCAAGTTATTTGTTATTTTATATTAGGCATAGCCTGCCCTATAGCATGGTGTAGGCTATTTGTATTTGTTTTGTTAAAACAAACAAAACTGTTTTATATATACACGCTAAAGTGAGTTTGATGTTGTATTTTGTTGTTGCATTCAAGCAATTGATGCCTAACTGCCGCTAATTCAAAAGTGAAAGTAAAATGCGCACGGCGCTTTTACTACACAAATATACAAATAAGGTAAAATGTACAAAAAATATATAAAGCAGCACAAGGCAAATGGCAGATAGAGTGCAAACCAGTGAAGTAAACAACAGTGCAGATATAATGATTTGTAGTCAAAAAAGCTTTATTGTGGGCCTCCGGAGCAGACCAAGATCCCGCAGCTCTTTATTTAAAAGCGAAGGAAAGCTAGGAAAAGAGGGAACGCCCCCGCCCCCATGGTGATACCGGTATTACCGGTGTTGTCACACGTCGATTAACCAGTGTGAAAATTTCCTCATCGTCACAACCCTACTGCGGATGTACTTGCTTGAAGAGAGACCTGAGGAAGGCACAGACTGAAACTAATGTCCCCCCCCAACACAATCTAGTACTGGTGAGTGATGATAACTTGTTATACAACACAAAATATTTAAATGGTTAATATAAACTTAATTTAAAGGGTTTTTTATTTATGACTTACTTTGGGGCCTGTTTGTATGTATGTATTAAATAATTGGTTACATTATGATAACCATGTAAAATTATTTGAATTTGATGCGGTCGGTAACTCTGGTGTAATTTGAACGGGAGCGGGCGGTCTAACAATATCCCATTCCCGACGTCCATTCAGAACAGCATATCTGCACTTTATTCTTATCTCACAACCCTACTGCGGATGTACTTGCTTGAAGAGAGACCTGAGGAAGGCACAGACTGAAACTAATGTCCCCCCCCAACACAATCTAGTACTGGTGAGTGATGATAACTTGTTATACAACACAAAATATTTAAATGGTTAATATAAACTTAATTTAAAGGGTTTTTTATTTATGACTTACTTTGGGGCCTGTTTGTATGTATGTATTAAATAATTGGTTACATTATGATAACCATGTAAAATTATTTGAATTTGATGCGGTCGGTAACTCTGGTGTAATTTGAACGGGAGCTGGCGGTCTAACAAGATTCCGTTCCCGACGTCCATTTAGAACAGCATATCTGCGCTTTATTCTTATTGACCACCGGTACAGCTTGCTCACAGGACTGTTATGCACGCGCTTGCACGCATGCTTTAAACATCACGCGTTTTATTTGCGGGGTCTGTGCGCAGCATGTGCATAACGTTGCTCAGAGCAGGCTGTACCTGTGGTAAATATATGGCCCTCAGAGAGAACAGGCAGGTTGTCGATGAGTGACAGAGCAGAATAAGGATGGAGTAAAGTGTGGATGCGCTGTCCTTGAAGGATGTTCAACTCGGTTTTGTTTATATTTTGCTTAGCCTATAATTTTAAATGAAAGATGTCGTATTTATTTATTTTTCTCTGCGACACTTTTCCTACTGTGTTAACAGAAAAATGTCAAACGAATTTAGTATTTTGATAAGAGGAATAAAAATAGCTACTAGGCTATTTTTGTACAACATACATTTATATATTTTTTCTCTTTGCGACACTTTTTCCCTATTGTGTTGTCAATGTTAAACGAATTGTATCCTGACAAGAAATACAATTTATGTACAACATTTTTATTTTCTTTGACACTTTTTTTCCTACTGTGTTGCAAAAAATATTAAGATATTAATATTAAGTGTCTTAAGATAATTCATATAAATTCAAGTCAAAGTCAATAACTTCAAGACTCTTGACAAGACGAATAAAATAACAATTTTGAGCAGACAACACTTTTATTTGTTAGCCTCTCTCTGTTTCTTTGAGTAGCGGAAATTTAAATGGGAGATTCTGGAAAGAAGATCTAAATTTAGCGGGAAGAAAATTATTCTAAGTGGACAGCGGGGTGAACAAAGTGAATATATAGCGGGAGCGGGCTCTGAACCTTGGAATAGAACTTTGCGGGAGCGTGCCTAAAAAAACAGTCCCGCACAGACCTCTACATTAATGCAGCAATGAAGCCAGTGACTGATTTCACGGATGTCCTCTCAGGGGAAAAATATGTCACTGTGTCCTCAGTAAAGCCTGTGTTGGAACTTCTTAAAGGCTAACTTTTATCACCAGACCCCAGTGACACTGCACTGACAGCAAATATAAAGGCAAACGTGCAGGGTATTGACAGAGAAATACAGCCCATATGAAATCCAAAACCTTCTGACAAAGGCCACCATCTTGGATCCAAGGTATCGTGGTACCATGGAGGATGCGGAGGTCTTGGATGATGTCTTGCGTTGAAGCTGCAGGGGGAAATGAAGGATCTGAATTTGAACCTCCAGCAACCAAGAAGCGGTTGTGTGACCTTCTCCAGAACAGAAGAATCCAACTTACAAGTCATCAGACTCAGGCATCGGTTCCAAAAAGAGTGCAAGCTGATGCGGAGCTGACTATGTTCCTCCAGGAAGAAGCACTTGATGCACCATCTGATCCCTTGATGTGGTGGTGTGATAACCATAGAAGATTTCCCCTATTAGCCAAGTTAGCACAAAAATACATGTGCATTTGTGCAACAAGCACTAGCTCAGAAAGAATGTTTAGCACAGCTGGTAACATTGTTACCCCAGAAAGATCCTGCCTTAAGCCCCACAAGGTAAACATGTTGGGGTTCCTTTCTCGGAATCTGTTAAAATTAAAAAGTGGATCTGGTAGCAGATATGGCCTGTTGAGGCATCTGTGCCTCTGTGAGAGACACTTTTAAAAGTCTAAACTGACTTTGTTAAACATGTTACTTTGTTTTGTTCTAGTTCTTGTTACCTTGCACTTTTTTGTTAACAAAGGTGTATTTATTATTTATTTGTTTTAATTTAGCACATATTTTTTCACATTCCGATTCCAATGTCTAAATATTCTTAAGAATAAAATGTTCTTTGTTCTTTGAAAGCGTGTACTTGCTTTATTATGCTATTATATTGTCATACTGTCATTATATAATCAGTGGCATAAAATGGTCT